TTGTAAACCTATATATTAGTGTAGAGTCCAAGATGAAGACCTAATTTAAAAGGAATATATTTCTTCACTCAATCAGTCTTTTTCTAAATCACTAATTATTCCAACTTGTTATATACTCACGAATACGAGACCAAGAAAGTAAACAATAGCGTAGTCGGATAGAATAGTATATTTGCGATGTCGTGCCAAGATACTGATGCGTTCCAACTAACTGGCTAAAGGGTTGACTATGAGCAGTGCAACGTAACACAACAGCGTCCCAAACAGCGAGGATGCTTGATCGGGTGTCCTCAGCATAGCGAGTCCAGTTAAACTATGAAGGTCAGCACCAATGTTGAATCTCGTCAAACCCCAGGCTATTGATTCTGGAGAAGTATGTGACGCTACACCCTTAACAAAATCTTAACCATGAGTCTAGAATTCAAAGGAGACACCACAACCGAAGTGCTGAAAAATCGTCCGTCAAGGTATATCAATAGTAGCTTCTATGCTGCTAGGTTGAGATTGATATTCTCCAGCCGCCGTCTGATTCGTCAATGCGTGAAGGATAGGCTTCCACTTATGTACACATCTATGTGTATCTACAAGTTCACATGCTCCTGTGGAGCTGACTATATTGGACGTTGTAAGCGGGCACTCCGAAAACGCTTAGCTGAACATTACCCGGTTTGGTTTACCACAGGCGAGCATAGGAGAACGACTTCATCCATATGTGAACACCGTGTTGAATTCGGTCATTCAGCACCTCGAGATTCATCCTTTAAAGTAATTTACAAAGTTAAATTGAACTACTCCATAGGTTAACGTTTCCACCACTTATGCATAGCTGAAGTATTAGCTATGAATGAACAAAAACTGAGACTTTGCATTCGAAAACGTTTTGTGAAACCACTTTCTCTACCTTGGCCTTAACAATTTATTTTATTGACTTTGTCAATTTCATTTCACTTTGGTATACTTCTCTTTTATTATCATCATTATTACCAATTTCCACTTCATGGACAACATTTCACCCATATTTCACTATTTTATATCAATTCATTCCTTATTTATTGACCTATTTTGCATGTTTCAGCTAAATTATCACCGTTTTACAATCCTTTGACAGCACATGTCTCTTATCTCACCACTTGTTATCAATTTGTTCCTTATTCAGTCACCTATTTTCTGTTTCTTCCACTTGAACAAATACCACCACCTACACCTATTATATATTTCGCATATTGACTGAGCAACTTTTTAGTGCAATTACCTGTCATTTTGCGGAGTATAAATACGACTGTACAGCTTGATAATGAAGTCGCTGAAAAGAAATATTTATTCGCTGATACATGTCTGGTTCTTATTGATGAAAAATGGGTATGTTTCGCCATTAGTGAAATTATGCCAACGGAGCAAGAGCTTTGCCCAAATGGAAAATTCTTGAGTCTTAAGGGTATCATCGTACGTCATACTGTCAAGAAAAGGGAAATACTACTTGTATCTGCTTGCCCCATCAATTGACGACGGCCATTTCTCGTTCGCCAAGTGAGAACGATAATTTCGCTTCAATTTCAATCCATTCTATTAGAGGTGATGCTACCTATCACCCTCAGCCAGTTATCATGATCAGGGGAATGAGGAAAGTCATTCTGACACTGGAAGACACACGCTGCTGAGGAATAGTCTTTGCTGAGTCACTACATCGGGGTATCAAATAACTTTCCGGGAGTTCTTCAATCATTCTATAGCAAAAGCAATCTTAAGCATGATGTGGTCCACAATATTTAAACAACCGTACCACCAAAGAAGTCATCTAACGTCCGCCTGTTTGTGACTATGACGCCTTAAATAAACACTGTTCTACATGATTGTCTATTACCTCAGACTGATTTTATAGATTTACCGGATGTCAATGTGTTCTCCATGGCCAACCTCATCAAAGCGTACTACTGGATCTCGATGACATTCATAAGAATGCAGTCCCCGCTCGTTTTGAATTATATGACTTTATCTGTATGCCTTTTGAGTGAAGCCTAAATGATCTGATCTCATTTATCAGCTAGTTTACAACTTAATTTTCATATATGCATATTTTAATTAATTTCTTATCATTAGTAAAGAAGAAACAGAGTATTTAACTCATAAGAAAGCTGTTTTTGAACTAGACCAGCATATCATATTGATTAACCTTGGGTAAGGTTACTTCGAGAAAAGCCGTTTGAACTAACTAGGACACCTAATTGACAAATAGAACATCCAAACGATTGTTGACCGTCAAGTTACAAAACACTATCCACTTCCAGAATTATTAAATAGGTAACATCGATCCCAAGGGTTGATCAGATTTTTTCGTCAACTTTTCGCAACTGCACCGCCATCCTAAACCGTTATATCAACGTTCATATGGACCTTCACATTCTCTTCAACTATCTTCTTTAGCCTTTCGAGTATTCGAAAAATCTAAGCACCTTATTGGGAAGAAATCGTTGTTCAGGAGACAGCAGCGCTTCCTTTCCACTGAAGAGAGACGCCCTCAGTATTACTGTACGGGCAGCTTTAAAATAATAGGGTAATTGGTGCATCCAAGCCCTAGCGTTCCTCTTTAAAAAGGTTGGATCCAACTCAGTACAGTTTTAAAACACTTGGTGAAGGAAGTTTAGCTGTATATCTAGCCATTAAGCAACTCATGTAAATGCTAGAAGGTATCACTCTCATAGTCTTCAATAATCGAAGCTTTTTCAGTTAAAGAAAACAACTACTCTCCAAGAGGGATACAGCACCTTGAATTTATTTCTCAGTTCACCTCCGATATCCAGCAATTAAGTCGTAGACGTCATTATTATGCATGCACGTCGATAATATGCTTTTTCCTGATATTGACTGTCAGCACTTGTTTGAGTTACAGAAAGACTATAGAAGCTTGTCTAAAAAGACCAACTAGACGCTTCTGCAAGTCCCGCTGAATATTATGAAAATCATATGCAATACGTTCACTGGCAGACAGTCAGTTTCATCCCAAAGATAAAAGACACACCACCTTTGACAAGATGCACAACTTACATTTAAGCCAGCAGCAAGTTCACTACTGAAGGATTCGTGTGACCAAGGGCTAATCCAGATGTAAAGGAATGGATGTAAGCAGATAAAATGTCACACTATCCATCCACTCGGTTCGTTTTCAACCTCCAGTGCAAGATTACCTAAATACCACCTAAATACTGTTGGACTTCGACCTACTTTCAACAGCTCCCACTGAATTCTCGATGCATGAACAGACTTACTTGTTGACTTATCAATCCTACTTCCAGGCATCACAACCAAAGTTGTTGTAAACTGGATATCCGATTTCGATGTACCATTGTTTCCCACGACGAATAAAGCAGCACGCTTTGAAAGTCAGTTATCTCAACATCACTGAATTATTCGACGGTACGTGAATACATAAGTACTGCAGCATATCATTCTACTTCTAGAGGAATGATCAAACGATTCCACGGGCAAATTAGAACTGCACCTGCCTTTTCTTTAACAGACAATGACACATCCACCACTCCTGCTCAAAATACAACCGGGTCTCACACAAGATATTAGCTGCTGCTGTACCATGGAGTTAATTTACAGAACTATGTTACGCTTGCCTAGGATATACTTCAGCCCAGAGACAGACTTAACTGCGTGCAACCACTATAACGAAAGTAAATTAACCTCCAAATAACATTAGATATAAGCACTGGGTCTGAATTAAATGTCCTTTAGCCACAAAATTACGTGAGGATAGTTTGTTTCCAATACAACCACGTGCATTGTTGTAATTGTTATTGTCGGTGCAATTATTAGCCTCACTGATCTTATCATACAACATATGCGGGAATATAGCTTACTTGTTTAAGAATCCGACTCTCAAGAAACAAGTCCTAAGTTCGAAAACTGTCACACCTGCCTCGACCTGAATGGTATCATAAGCCCTCAAACAACAGGTGTGACAAATAAGCTATTACAGAAACAAGCATAGCTACATTATTTTCAATATCATATTGCACTTAAATATCTGCCATTAACCTTTTCAGAAACATTCCCCGTCCAAAATCTAGAATACTTTTGTTTCTCCTTTCAGCCTATTGTTTGTAATGATATGTTAACCACTACAGTTTCGTTCGATTTTGCGGTGAATTATTACTTGTTATATCGGCCAAAGAGTGGAAAACGTGACATTGGGCATATTTTTAAAATCATTTTACATATGACTGAATTGATAACATTACTGCATATCTTGGTTCGACAGCTTTTGATTAACCCCTCATCCATTTATGCATGACTTATAGTTTGGAAGTAATTGCATGTTGACTGAAATCCATCCATTTTGTATAATCTCATTTTCTATGCTTGAAATCGATTGTTTCATTTTTACAGATTATGGTGCGTTGTAGTCAGGTGGTTTATTTGTACATACAGCCGAATCACATTGTCTGAAATAGATGGAGAATAAACACCAAACTTGGCTTTGTTGCAAGCAATTAGGAGGGGCTGACTCACGCACTTGCGTGACTCATTGTGGAGTTGGTTTGATTATGCTAGACTGGGCGATTATATACGAGACCAATCACGTGCAAGGTCGGTGTTAAGACTTAATCGGGAGAATCACGTGAACCAGGCAGTCACAACCAGACGAAGTTATAACGCCACTATACTAAATACGGTTATATATTGTATTGCATTTGGACTGGCATAAATTTCATTCCACTCCAAATCAATAACCCAATGAGTCAGTCACTCACACACGCACTCGCTATCATTTCCTCACATAGTTGATATATATGTTTTAAGCGTTTAAGTTTCTTTAATTCGTTTTGACCAAAACCATTCATGTGTGCTCAGTACATTGCATTCCGATCATTTATGTATGTATTTTTGCTTTTAAATGTATCTGACTTTTCAGATTTACTGTATTGGTTTCCTTTAAATACCCACCTTACTCTTTATACCAATATTCTAAAGAGGTGATTATGCAACAGTCTGTGTTGTAAAAACAGATTTATTTACCGATGGCTTTATTAAACGCTTTTTTATTTGTTTTGACATGCTGATTTCCCGCAGCAGACACTGTGGTTCTACACAGATCTATCTCTACGAAACTTTTGATTTTCATACCACAAATTATGGTGGTGAATGAAGACCAATTCATTAAATTAGCTTCTGCACTACGAACAGCTACAAGAAAAAGCAATGCACTTACATCGGCATCCATGTTGTGCTAAGTTCGTATTCAATGAAGATATCACAAACTGCACATGAAAACTTCTATGTACATTCATCAATAAAAGCTAAAATTAAGCAAGTATTATGTACACAGAAAACTGAAAAACATCTTAGTGATGTCCGGAAAACATAGAAGCGTTTATTTTCGTTGAAGTCGAGGAGCGAAAGTGATAACTGCTCCATTACGAACTTGGTAATGCTCTGATAGTTTATTAGTTAGCACATCTAATCTAACAGTGATAGATGGAGAATCTTCTGGAGGAAATAAGCCATGTGGGTTCACAAGAGCTAAACATTTTGTTTTCCAAATACTTCGCCAGCTAATAAGTTTCGGAGAAATGCAGCTTTGTAAAATATTGTCAGTAATACTGCCTACATGCTGTTCTTTTTGTAGTTTTGGTTGATTATGAAGATTTAAATACGATGTAATTGCTTCTTGTACGGCCCAGCGTAACTCCAAAACACTAGCATTGACAGGAATCACTAGAGGTAATTTCACACCATCCCCTCGTAGCAGCGTTAGGCGCATAGCCTGTGAAGAAGAAAACGCAATTCAGATGCTCATTTAAGCAAGCGCAAGCTAACGTAATCAAAGAGGTCATGAAATTTTTACGAACATTGTCATGATGAAATTCAACTCAAAAGTTCTAAACAATACGTGCATAGTTAACAGAATGATAAAGATGGGGACTTCAGTACCAAATGTCTGAATTACGTAGGCTGGGACGAGCTACTGATAAATTACAGTTAGAATGAAACAAAAGACTAACTTACATAGTGATTACATCAGACTCGGTCGTCCGACTCTTATGTTGCATGAATATTTTTACCGTTTTAATTATAAGTTGTTGCTGACACAACACACTGACAGAACGAACTGAAGCGTAATATACTCGTCCTTTAGAAAGTAGTCGGTCATCTCACTAGTCGGCGCCATAGATGACGCAAGCTGGTAAATGCCAAACGGGCCTTCTGTATCTGAGCTGAGATTTCGTCGGCAACTAGCCCGTTCGAGGTGATACAACTCTCCAAGTAAGTGAAATGGTTGACACATTCCACCACTTCACTCCCTATCATTAAACTGAGAATGGTTGCAAATCAGTCCTTGAGTATCATCTTACTTTTAACAGGTGCCAGTGAAACGTATGCCAAACGTACTCAGATTTCTACTCCACGCGTCTTCACCTAACAGGACAACGTCATCTGCGCATTCCAGGTCTACCAAAAATCCCCCTGCGGTCAGGTCAATCCCTGTGTCGTCATATGTTAAGAGGGAGACCTCCATAAGAACGTCTATGATAAAATTGAATACGAATGGGGAAAGTGGGCATCCACTCGACATACACGGCTCAGTTGACATCTCACCATAGGCTCTAACACCCTCACAGCTGTTCAAGTTAAGAGCCCTCAATAAGATGATTTACTTACTCAGTACCCCTTTTATTGTAATAAGACTTCTTGATCGACGGGCTCGAATGCCGTTTTCTGGTCGAGAAATACAGATATTATCAGACATTGGTAAGCGTGCCTCTGTCCCCGGCGGAGTATGAATATTTGGTCGATATGTCCACGGCCACATCTGAACCCAGCCTGGTTTTTTCAAGTTATTACCGAGTTTTACTCAGGCATCTAACGACTATAGAACCTAGAATGCTAGATAATATGTTTGTCAGGTTGATTCCTCTGTGGTTATCACAGGAGGACTCGCCTTTCTTGAAGACTGGGATAACCTGTGAGCGAGACCAGTGAGAGGGGACAATATTCGACTCCCATACACTAGTTAGCACTCCGGTTGACTTCATTGAAAATACTCTGCCACCGTTCTTGTATGTGTTAGGCATCAGTCATTTTGGTCCTGCTGCCCTTCCTCGTCTAAATTTATCTACCGCTGTTCCGACTTCTGAGTGTTGGGGGGGGGCAATGTTCCATTCAGGATCCGACTGGAGAGGAACGCAATAGGAGTTGGAGGTGAGTTGGACTGTTCCTCGAAGTGTTCTACCCATCGTTTCAATCGTCTCCTCCAAGTGCTTCTCTGCCTCACTCAGCCTACCCACTTGTTCATTGAAATCACCTGCAACAACAACCACGTCTGAACATTTGGTTTTCAGAAGGAGGCTAGACAGTTTTAGGTAGAACTCATCCTTAACTTTATCCGAACTGCAGTCAGTGGGTGCATAAGCAGAGACAACAAAGAAACAACGGCGAGTTTCACTATTCCTTCCAGTTCTCATTATGCTATCCAGCCGTACAGCGCATAGGCAAATGTCAACTGGGAAACAGTCTGGTAATGAGCTTTTTGTCCCGGTGCTTAAGGCTATGTCTACACCTGCAAAACCGCGAGAACTAACCATCGAATCTCCAGAAACTCAAGGAGTGAATTTTGCGGATTCACCATATTGGCCGGAAGAGGTTAAGTGAATAACCGCTCACGGGTCCTGTTTGCGTGTCTCAGACACAGAACACATCCATGCCTAAGTTGCTAGTTTTGGCCAATGAAGCTTGCTGGCCAATTTAAAGGAGGGTGCGGACAGTGAAGGCTCCAATGTGTAATTTGAAGCGTCGTTTCAGGAGACTAAGGATGCTGTTTCGTGGACCCAAATCGTTGTTGAAAGCTACGAAGCAAGAAGAAATTAAAGATGATGTAGGATAGTTAACTGAGCGATGCGAAGGAAGATTAGAAAGCCAAGATGAAGGAGGTGCATAGTGGTTAGAGGGAACATGAGAGTTGACAGAGTTGTGAGGACGATTGACAGTCCCCAGCTGCCCATATCGTGAAAGGGTTGTTGCGTGAACGTAGAGCCCAGGGGAAATCTGCAAAAGGTCGGTCACAAACGGCCTTTTTGATGCTACGACAGTTGGTCTGTATTATAGAAGATGTAGTCGGACATACGTCCTGTGGTTTCGGATCACCACCAAGTTCTGATGACTGGTCAAGGCCACCATAATGGGTCATTTCTGTTTAGGAACATCTTAAGGGTAACTGCTTTTTGTCGAATCACTACCCAACAGATCTTTCTGGTGTGGTAGGACCTCGAGGGAGCAGGGGTTCCCCTACTATAGCTCGTTGGTTCATCGTGATATACAAGCCCGACAACCAAGTCAAGGTAGCAGCTAACGGTCAGGCAAATCATTACATTAAGCAAGGATAGGACTCAATGCCTCGCAATGTGACTGCTGCTTGAGCACTTACGTCTCCCCGACAACACTGTTACTTAGTGGATGACAGCTGATGAGCAGTGGGAACAACAACACTAATCACTGACTTGAATTCGGTTGCTCTTTATAAAGTGACTTGGCCGGTTTATTAAGAAGGCAATCCTTTTAACTCCTACAAGGCTGGAAATCAATCATGGTCTTACCTTTATATGTTTCCATGTACTTAATGTACGTTCTTTCTGCTGCAATTATTGCAGTGAAAATTTGTTATTTTAATAATGAATAGATTGGAAAAACACCAAATAACAGGTGACAAATTAATTTACAAAACAGGTATTTACGCAAAATAATAAAAATTACTCGTCCAAAATGAACTTCAATGGTGTTCATAACGTCTTTGTTTGCTGGCAAATCTGAAATATCACCTTCCTCTTTGTTTGACTTTGAGATAAGATCATTAAGAAAGCGGTCATTAGAAATGATTGATGCCAGCTTCTTATCCACAGATTCTAGAGTGGTCTGATATTCCTTGATAGTCGCGGACAGCTCTTCCTCCATTACCTTCACTTCTTCAAATACAGTTAATTAGCTTTGATGCACTAATAAGTATAAACATTGAAAACGTTTCTTAGTATAATAGACGACAGACTTGAGAAGTGCAACAGAAGTATAAATTCTGCTTGAAGTTCATATATTATATAAAAAAAGCTATGTACGCTGTTCGCATACAACCAGTTTTCACTGGAAGTTAAGAGGAACAATAAATTTATATAATGTCCCATCGTATGTAAGTAAAGCGTCTACACACCATCCTGAGCCATTCCATTTCTGGCTATCAATGGATAAACGTCAGGAAGAATCGTTTAAGGAAGATGAAATCCTGTTACCGCACATTGTAAAAAATAATACAGGTTACTTGGATTTTTTGATTTCTAAAAACAGACAGCGATGATGCGATCAAAAGAATGGATATTCATATTAACTGAAAACAAGGTAACGTCGAGCTGATGAACGAAACCCACGGGAGTTACATGGAATGAAGATAAGATAGACAGTGTTTTAGCCTAGTCGGTTAAGCACAGATTCCGAAAACACCATACAAAAAAGGATTTTGAGTGTATAAAACTACGCACTCAGAATCGTTTACAGTATACTGATTAATGATAATTTATCTGAATGGCAATATATAATTGACGTTTTTATTTACTCAACTTAAAATCAAAACTTTGGGTCAATCTTGAAAAGTTTGGAGGGTGTTTTAGGACTTCAGACTGAGAAGTTGAAGTTTGATTTGGAATTTCGAGCTGTATAATGATAAAGAAAACTGACTATGAACTGAAAACTTACCGACTGATCCCGGATAACCAATCGTGGAGTTGTGGCTCAGTGGTTTAGGCAGATGACTATCAGCCATTGGTTCATCGGTTCCAGCCCTGCTCCACTTACCGAGGTTTGAGCAGCTAGTTAGAACCACTAGGCCTAAAACAATACGTGTGGACCATTGACTACTGTGTGAACGTGCACAAGGTTGCTGAGTGCATTTCGTCTCGTCGTTATGCAAGTAACCAAGTCATTTGTATCAAATATTTAAATCAGCTGTAATACATAAACAACGTTATAACAAAGATATATCGATATAATCCCGTAATTCAGATACTGTGGAACAGTGTAATTCTATATTGAATGTGTTCGTTTGATATGGGACATAGGCATAGTGTTATTTGCTAGAAGACGTTTCCAGAATAAATTATTGCTTAAATAATCATATCACACTGATACATAAATAAGAGCACCATTTATGCTCCAAGTGTCATCCAGTAAACATTATTGTATCCCCCTGTGTGCTACATCAAATGAAAGAAGGATATGTCGGATTGAACGGAGTGGTGTTTGAAGCGTTAAATGATGCTTAGATGTTAGTGGGGGACAGAAAGGATAGGGATTCAACATAGTAATTAGATATAGATGAAAATAAGTTTAGGCTTTATTCATTAAGTCACATTTTCACCCAAACAGGGAACAAAAGTAGTCAACGTTGAAATTGTTTATCAATGATGGTCGTAGAGAGTTGACTTATCAAACAGATGAACAAATAAGAGGCTACTGTTCGCTAAAGGTTATTTTATTCTTCAGCACATTTCAAATTCCTATTTTCGAGAGAGACAGTTTTGAAGCCTAACTAACTCAATGTGATAACTCTTTTTCCTACTTTGAAACCATCCTGTTAACTAGAGTGAAATATTATTTTTCACTTACAGCGACTTAATAAGTGGAGCTGTGGCTCAATGGCTAAGAGAGATGACTACCAATCAGTGGGTTACGAGGTTTGAACTCCACTCCATCCATCGTGGTTTGGGCAGTCATGTAGTGTTACTAGCCGTCACACGGTAGGTGTGGCTCATCGCCTACTGTACGAATGTGCACAAGGCTGCTGAGTGTTTCATTTCGTCATTTCGGACAACCAATCATATTCGTCGAACGTCAGGAACGCACAGCATCGTATCTGTAGAGAATGAATGAAAGAGTAGAGCCGCTGGGGAGAAACCAATCTCTCAATATTGGTTCTTCAACTTCACTGCTAATCGGCCATCGTTCAGTGGAAAGACAGATATGAACAGTTTTCTTCCATAACTTTCGGTTCTTTAGCCTTTAACCAACCAATACTTGAAAAGTGTCCTGTACATCACATTTTTTCTACCTTTGTAGATACACTCATCCATGTACACAACTTGGTCACCAGTTAGCAATCGGTGTAGCTGTCCAGTCCTTTCCTGAACTATAACTGGAAAATATGGTTATTGTGAAACGGAAACCGGTGACTGCAACTAACATTTCGGAATACAGACGACTTTTTCAGAGCTTGTACACATTTTTGGTAACAACCAATTTCGTCTATGAGAGGCGTAAGAGGTATGTGCTTCTGAGCTAGTGTAATTTATAAACTCTAGTTGATGCCATCATTACTGTCATCCTCGTAGCATACATTTTCTTAACTTCATGAAGTACGAATCCATGGGGAAAGACTAAATCCCATCAAGTGGGCAATGTTGCTATATGTCGGTAGCCAAACATGTTACTGCATGCATGTGGTGAACTGCTTCTTCATTGTTTAGCTAAAAGCGTAGTTGTCTACCAAGTGTTGCTGGTCGATGGTACCTCCGTAATGCAGACAATGCTTCGCTTCAATGAGTTTGTGAAATATGAAGTTAAGTAATACAGTACAAAAGCATGGGACCTATGTGAAGGAAACTGCCTATCATCTATAGCTTTCTAATACCTCCTGTGTAACACTAACCGGCAGTTCCATCAAAAACCTATAGGCCTAGACGATCTGACAACCATCATTTTATCGTCCATAGCCTTGAGAATAGCAGGACATACTGCACTATATATATGCAGTTTTTCCATGAACTGGGCAGCTTTTTGACAATACTCACACCCATCAAATGAAATTAGCCTAAGGTGAAGTGTGTCAAAATACCATAAGCGTTTATGGAGCCAACTGATGTTATTCCTTTAGGATCTTACAGTTTGTGTGAATGCCAATAACAGGCGCATTCATATTACCTGTGTCACGCATAAAATGATCTTGTTCCCATTTTATTGTTTGTTATTGAAGAAGACTAATCAACATGATTTTGCTGAATGATGGACTACGTTATCACATAGTTTGGAAGGTTTGACTTGGCATGTAAGTGTAGTGGACATTAAAATGAATACAATTTTAACTTACTTCAATTTCTGACCTGCATTATCAAAAGTTCCAATCACACTGGAAGTATCCCTTTTTACATAGGTGGTACGCTTAACCAGATTCATTCACTTAGGATGCAGGCTAACAATATCATATAAATTAACTGAAGATTAATAAGAAGGCTGCAACTGTAAAATACATAGATTCTCAAAACGACATTAGACCGTATGTTTAATATGAATGGCTATTGTCTGACGACCGATAGCTGCTGCTACGTTGACGTGGCGGTCGCTCTTATGTATCGCAATGACCCAACGAGCTGTGCTGGTGGAACACCTGTTCCTTCGCGGTTCTACCATACCAGAAAGGTTTGTGGGATAGTGGTTAAAGAAGAAACAGTTACCATTATAGTGTAAGTTGTTACGCTACGATAGGGTCTGAGGGCAAAGTCATACCGCTGTTAGCTGGATGGTATGCGACAGTAGTTAGGTGCTTCCCTTGGATGACCAGCAGTGCCAAGCTGATGATGCCTTCCAAATGGGAAGGCGGGGTTAGAAATAGTCGGTCCCAAAAGTAATGCACTCCACCCCCTCATGGCATGCCGATGCTTGCAATAAGCATTCATAGTCGAATCCAAAACCAAAATCTCAAAATTAGCCAAAAGCCAGTGCGCGACCGGCCTCATACAGATGTCCCTTGGGCTATGCCTGTCACAAATCTTTTTCTCTTTCAGGTGTCTCAAGAAGAAATAGTCCACCGCAGTGTGGACAACCAGAAAGCATCAACTGTCCGTACGCTTCCAGTAGTACTTAAGACCCAAACGAACATAACCTGTCTTCCTAAACCTTGTCTCCTTCTTTGCCTTCACTCCCTGATATTAATATTAAACCTATTACACTTTCCCCAACTTCTCACTCTGCAATCATTGCCAATGATAAAAGCCATCGAAAACTCACTCCTAGTCTCCTAAGGCCCTGCTATCGATTCCATGTAGGAGTTTTCAACATCCGAATTCCATGTGAAATCAGACAGCAAGCATCACTCGCCAGAACTTTGAAATCTCCAGCTATGCATTTTTGCTGTCTTTGAGGCACGTATACAGGGCTCGAGTGTGGTTATTAAATTGACTTTACCTTTGTAGTGAATCTTCAAAATTCACTTTACGAGTATCCGGAGAACCAATGGCTAGCTCTCGTAGACTCGCTGGTGTAGGCATAGCATTAAGTTTTAGAGCAGAAAGTGCGCTCCTCGACTGGATACCAGTAAACACCTGTCTATGTGCTGTTCGAGTAAATGGATCTGTAAGGACTAGGAAGGATCCTGAGATTAACAGACGCTTATTCATAATTTCCGCCTACGCACCAACCGTCTGCAGTGTGGATGATCCAAAGGATGGATTCTATGCGAAGCTGTCAACTTCGCTAAAGAAAGCAAAAACATTCAGGCATGGTCATAATAGTAGGTGACTTAAACGCTTAAGTAGGGAAGCTGAGATAACCAAGAAGGTATCTTCGGGATATTTACAAAATCTCATCCCAACGAATGAACAACAGTGATCGTTTGTTGCAATTTTGTTCTGACTAGTACTAACTTTAAATATAAGGAGACACATTGTCTCACATGGGAATACGCCAACTTCAAACCAAGGACGGACACAGACACATGCTATAACCCTTTGTTGGAGGACTGGCACTCTCTCATAAGCACTCGTTTGGAATCCGATTGAGGCGTTAGTACAAGTTCGTGTATGTCTGCGCCTTACTGGTAGCAGAAAACAGGCAATAGTAAGCCTGTCTATGGTCGATCGGAAGATAGGAGCGTCAAGTCTTCATTTAGGGAAGAGGAAGCTAAGCATTTATTTGAACATGACAGCAGTGCTCATCATGAGGAAATCTGGCATGAAATTAAGTCCGCTGTAAATACAGCTATCAAGACGACTGGTGACTTACACCCGTAGGTTAGCAAACGTCAGTGGATTTTCACGATGTCAACCCAACTGACTGATGCGAGAATGATCCCAGCTGGTTCTGACCACGACGAAGAGCGAAAGCAACTTCGACGTAAGTTGACCAAGAGTCGTGTCGATCTCGAGCAGTGGTGGATGACGAAAGCAAGATAGATGAAGGCATGAGCGTTGGGTAACACTCAGCAACTATTTAGATGTATTAAGGAGACCGGTAAGATGATGGTAAGTGAAACCATCATAGAAAAGGATGGGATGTTGATAACCTCCCAGGACAGGTAGCTAGAACGTTGGGCAGAACACTCTGAAGCACAGTTCAACCCTCCCTCGGAAACGCTTCAGTTGCCCAACGTCCAGTTTGAACTTGAATGCACCATAGATGTCCACCCATCAACGCTTCTTAAAGTTGAGAAAGCTGTATCGAACCTGAGATGATGCAAAGCAGCAAGAACTAAGTTTGCCATCCAAAATTTTCCAAGGATGGAGGTAGGAAATTGTTGATTAGAGTGACGGAGGTGCTAGCTAGTGCATGGGAATCAGAGGTAGTGCTATCTGACTGATGTACTTCACTGGTAATCCCAATCTATAAGGGGAAGAAATCTCGTGACAACTATAAAGGAATTAGTTTGGCTCATATTGTGTACAAGATCCCAGCATCCATAGTCATGCGACACCTAAAAGAAGCTCGAGAACAGCAGACTCGAGAAAACTAAGAGGGTTTTGGACCTAGTCGAGGGTGCATCAATAATATTTTCACCCTATGACAGGTTCTGGAAGACGGGTATACCTACCGCCGGCAGCCGACAATGGCCATATTTGTTGATCTGTGTTGTGACAGTGTCTGACTGTGAAGGGAGTATTGACCACGCATATAATACTAACTAAAGCTCTCTACTCGAACTCATGCAGCCCTACAACGGGTGGCTTATGAGTTCTCAAATGAGTTGAAAACCACTAGTGGTATCCAACAGGGATGTCCACTGTCACCGTTCTTACTTAATTGCGTCAGAGACGTACTAGTGGACATAATCCTATGTATGTCTCACTTCAAAGGGGTTGACTTACACCCTGGAGGTCATCTAGTTGATTTGGAGTACGCAGACGATATTGTCCCGCTGGGTGAAGATGATGACAGAACGCAAGATCTTTTGCACATGTTGACTAAAAACCTGAGCACATTTGGCGTGCGTTTCACTGGCACCTGTCAAATGTAAAATGATGCTCCACGACTGAGTTGCGACCACTTCCGTTTTCATGATAAGGAGTGAAATGTTGGAGTGCGTCAATCGTTTCACTTACTTGGAGAGTTGCATCAGCTCGAATGGGCTGGTTTCTGATGAAATCTCAGCTACGATACAGAAGGGCCATCTGGCATTCACCAACTTGCGTCACATGTGGTGCCGGTGAGATATCCGACTACCTAGCAAAGGACGAGTACTGTGCTGCAGTTTGTTTTGTTCTGTTATACGACTGTGAGACATGGTCATTGGAAGTAGATGACATGTAGCGGTTGCAGAGTTTTGATCAGAGATCTTCGTAGCATCGCTCGCGTTTGGTGGAATTACCATGTGAGCAGTATTCAGGTCAGGCGAAGAGTACTAGGTATACAGGCAAGTCGATTGATAATGTTGTGAAACTTTAGAGGCTGAGGTGGTTTTGACATGTGTTGTGCATGCCGATCAACCGCCTTTCTTGACGTGCCATGCTACGGGGAAGCTCGACTAGGTTGGGAGAGTTTAGAATGGCCAAAATTATGAGGTGGCACCAGTCCACGAAGTCTCTGACTGTTGGTCTGAACTGTATAGGGAGACGTAAATTGCCTGGTTGGCTGAAGACTTGGTAACGGCTAAAAACTGGTCACAGTGGCAAAGATGTATTTACTGTTTGATAGGTCCTAAAGTTTGACTATTTGCACTAACCGTTATCTTCAAATTGCACTTGGTGCTAGGTCATGAATTGGTTTTGTCCCCAAGGTAACAGGAACAATTAGTTGTAGATTCCTTGACATATGGATGAAAATCAGTCACAGTGGCGTAGATGTGTTTGGTGACTCGTCTTTCATGGGCTGAACTTTTTCACTAAGTGGGATACTCAAATTCCTTTTTCTCCCATGCACGTTTGTCTGCCTTGACATCCCTTTTCTTTCGCCCACTCTTCCTTTGTATGCCGTTATGAGGTGTGGTAGTACTTCTGTGAGAGATTCTACATGAGTCTTATCTATCCCGGAAAGCAGCCGCTCTCATACACCAACGCGGAAATTGTGCAGCGGGCGAGGGAACAATATTTACCAGTGCGAAATAACCCGCTTAGAAGTCATATTTCGTCGGTAATCGTGAATGTATTTCACCCGTTTTCCCGGTATTCGTCTAAAATATTTCTGTATAACTGTTAGCTTCGGCTTAGACAAAACGTAGAGTAACTGCTGAAATCGTAAAGCTAGGTTATGTGCAACACGAAGAGTGCGAAAGAAAGAAAGCATAAGGTATGCATGCTGAGCAAAAGCAACATCTGTGAATATTAGCGATTGATCGTGTATATTCACAGTATTCATTGTGCTGTTTGATTGGACACAATTACATTGAACCAAAAGTTTATCATTTTTAATCATAAACCTCTTTTCCGAAGATAATTTCGCTTTTAATACAAATGATAACAATGTAGTTTTTCGGAGCTGGTATAGCTAATAACAAGTAACTAACCTGGTGATTGGTCTCATTATTTCAGAAGAGCAACGCAGATGTTTGTCGGAACGCTTAAAATTCCAATATCCAATGTCTAATGTCTTTTTACGATCTTGTGTAAACCAGTTGATTTCTTCGCACTCACCTCTAGGTCCTGTAGGGCGGTTCCAGGTTTTTGTCGGATGTACTATTCAATCAAATATCTGAGTGGTTCAAACGGCTTTTGATGGAATAGAAGATGTTTTCGCATTTAAATTCCATAGATCGTTACTTCTGGTGGTTGCTAATCTGTGTACAGGTAAAAAGATAAGAAACAGTAGCGCTCTAATGTGAAAATGCAGTTAGTTCTGAACAGATCCTAGCCATATATTAAATAAGTATCCAGTCGGCGCTTAAATGATTCAGACGAGGTAGCCTGGATCACACCTAGCGAAGAGTATTCAAGGGTTTTACAACTCTTACGGAATAGGAGTTATGCCTGGTATCCAACTTCAAACGTTTCAGGCATAGCTTCCGTATATCCCCTTTGGGATTATTGCTACAGCTAAGATTCAATAAGTGGCTGAGTGGGTGTTCAAAGGTTCTCAGGATGTTGCTAGCCGTTACCAAGTCCCGTCTTGGCCCTCTGTATTCCAGGGGATACGGATCCAGCGTAACCAGTCGCTCTTCAAGTGTTTTAGACCTGGGTCCCCGAACAGAATTGGCCTGGTGTCTCTTGATGCTTTCTAAGCCTATTCTGTCTTTCTGTAGAGGAGGGGACAAGATGATGGTTCCAAACTCCAGGTGAGGCCGTATGAGGCAGTTGAAAATTTGATGGAAGTATATACGATCAAATTGTCCAAAAATTTGTCTGAGGATTGCCAGCCCCAACTTTCCTTGAAATATGTATCTGTCACAGTTGGCATTGGGTCCCAAGTCTTCATGGGCTAAAACGCCCAAATCTTTCTCCGTCAGCGACGCTTCAATTTCCGTGCCGTAGAGGCCATATACATAACATACGTCGCATTTTACGTGTAACGTTGTCTTCCTCACCTCTGACTTCTTTCCGCAGTTTCGCAGCATCAGAAAAAAGAAGAATTTCAGAAGAAACCTGTTGAGGCAAGTAGTTCATAGATATTAGAAAAAGAAGAGACCCCGGTACTGAACCTTGAGAAACACCACTAGTACATTTTGTTCCCTGAGACATAGAGAAACCCACTCGAACTCTAAATGGATGAACTCGGTGATGTAAAGACAGCCAGCCAGCGAGTGATGGTCTTATCGCGCTTAATTTTAGTTCATCAATGAGGCAGTTCCGATTGAGGCGATAAAACGCCCTGGCAAAGCCTAGATAACTAACTTCAGTTAGATCTTGACGGTCAACTGTACCAGCCCACCTATCTACTGCAGTGAGCTGATTGGTAGTGCATGAGCTCGTTTTTCAAAATCCATGCTGTTGGGGATACAAGTAAGTTGATTGTTGTAGGGTGATCCCCGAGTCCACCATAAATTAACGATCACATTACTCCGAAGGTTTGGATAAATGCGTCACCGGTCTGTCTTCCTTCGGGTTACTCCCTTGACCTTCCTAGGAAACTTTGCGTCATGCGCCCCAACTTTCAAGGATCAAGTACTTTCTCTCGACTTAGAAAGTCCTTAAATGACTTACTTGAAGGACCAGACAAGATTGGTGGTCCCTCCCGCTGTACCGCAGAATGGATTTCGCCTGATCCGAGAAGTGAACAATGGTAGCTTGCTCTTTGCTGGCCCAACACTTAAGTCGACGACCGAGATTCACACTTCGTTTATGAGATATTCGTGAACTCCTGAATAGGTGGACAATAACGAAAGCGTTTGAAAATGCTAGTCCACTTCGAGCTCAACTGCTTCTGTCTCCCTGCTAGTCAGTCCGTTGGCACCTAGTAGTTTAGAGACTCTCGCTTTGGCTTGCCGGAACGATACAGGTTCGAAACAAACATGTTTGTAAGTCCATCTTGGTGTCGCTGCTGATCGGCTCTCAGTTCTTTGTGCGTGTGCTCCTCGTCTGGTTGGATAGTTTTCAAGTGCATTCGGTGCCCCTCCTTCCGTGTTCGAACGAGTAGTGTCTTTTCAAACTAAGTAGCTTGTGATTGCAGTTCCTCATCACCTCAGCGACTTTAAGCGCTTTAGCATCGAAAGCGGAACTGACTGGCTGATTGGATGCATGATTTTACCAAATATGAATCCCCAATGAATGTTTACAATCTGCCACACAGCCTCCCAGTCTGTCTGTTCCAGCACTATCCAAGGAGCTGGAGTGTTAAGTCCCTCGAGGTTCCAACAACGTTCATTGAAATGTATGGCCAGAGTGGATTCGCAGACATACCAGTGTAGTCATCCCAGCGTAAAGGAGGATGGATTGCTAGGTTGTCAACCGAGAGTTCATCGTTTCTGAAGATAAGGTCTAAGTGAGATAGGACATGAGTTTCTTTTGGTCGCTTTACTGTTCCCACACCTTCCGTTAGCCCGGCTTCCAAACCAGACTAAAAAATCGGGCGTCGCTGGAAGAACCAGTCCCGCTAAACGCATGATTCCTAAAGTTAGCCTCTGGTAGGTAACTGTGTGCGCCCTAGTTAAGGAGAGCAACTGATTGCCCCTAGCATCTGCTTATTACATCGTACTTTAATGGGTCGCTCCCTTTAAATGACTCCCACCAAGCGCTTTGTAGTCTTGGGCAATTTTATAGCTCACCAGATGGACTCCTGAGGCAGTCCGATACTTAGGTTTGGATTTCGTGGGCTGAGAGAGCAGAGACGACGAAACACGCTGCTCGCTAACAGCTCTCCTGTCTTTGAGAAACAGCACAGCCTTAGCAACCGCCAGCTCTTGGTTTGGCATGTCTCGAGAAACCCATGCCTCACTGGCACGCACAGGGTTAGCTTGAGTGTCTTGCTTAGTTCCCGTAGTTGGAGTTTATTCCGCAAACGTTGGGCATTTGCATGCACCTCCTGACACCTCCACCTTTTCCGACTGGATGGTTAAATCCCAGGGTTTGGGCGCTGGGAAGATGTTTAAGTGCTGGTTGCCAGTGCGCTGTTCCTCACCCTTCCTCGTCTTTGCATCTAAGCAGCCTTCCAGAGGTTCAACCAGCTCCGATTTATCCCGTTTTGTTTTAGCCTCTCATTTCGCAACCTGTCAGGTTACATATGGACTCAAGGCGGCAGGCGACCTACAGTATAGATGCCGCCGTTTGACAGGCCGTAAAGATCGCTTCGGCCAGCGTTCGTCCGAGATCGTCAGTTTTATTTATCACCGGCGAGACAATGTGTTACTACTCCCCTTGATTTTCATTTTATTCTCAAAGGACTTTTTGCGAGAACCGTGGTGAATATCCTCGGCGCCTGGATTTTTAGGTATGTCCTGCATCATCAGGTTCCTTCCTCTAGCGTGAACCTCACGATTGGCGCCCAGATGTTTCTATACGGTCATTTCCTCAGTGTGGAATTTGTTTTATCGACTGCTGACGCTTGGGCGTTCTTTTAGAGCTTCTGCTTCTTGTTACACCTAGACCTCGTTCGCGGGCAGCTCATCTGTTTGTCTGACAAGCTTATGAGTAACTCGCGTGCTCTGTCATAAAATTCGACTTTCTTGCGGACTTAGATATGGCCTTCCTCATTTCCATATCACCCTGCTCAGACTTGTCTGCGGTACTTTCTGCCTTTCTAGATGCAGTGAGTTTGACCGAAGCTTAAAACCGAGTATTCTTATTTCACACAGATGATGCCTATCTTGAGCATATTCGCTCGATATGGCCTTTTCATTTTGTGTCCCAAGCCTGTTCATTGCTCTTACCGGATGATTTGAAGATTTTCTGCTCCGGTCGGTTTCCGAACTCCAAAGCCTCTTACGAGGGTGCAGATTTCGAATTTGCCAGCTTCCTCTTTTTTCGGTTTATTTCTGTTAACATATCGTGAGGTACTCACGAACACCACACAAGCGGTAATGCCACCTGCGACCAGGTTTGCCGGGTTCAGTGCACTCAGTTGCCTGTACCCCCCACAAGCATTATGGAGCCGACTCTAATGATAATAATGATATTATATTTCATACAACGTGGGTTACATGAGTACAAACCACTTTTCAGCTTGATCATTTTGGTAATGAGAAATGGCCGTTATGTACGGTGCTAAGCGTGCATTAGATACCGTTATTCGTGGCATATGGGAGGTGTGTTGGAGCAGGCTCAGTTGGAAATCAGGAATTATTCAGCTGTTTGAATCTTCCGATATCCTTGAGGGTGGGGCCGTATCACAGTCATGACCTTGGGATGTGTGAGTTCGTCATAAGGTTTTGATGGCAAGGTGCACACCGACAAGTGCGATTACTAAGATTCCATTTGAATGCAGGACTGGTTAGGTCAACCTGAAAAGTGAATAACAAAAGCGGGCAGCAGGCGACATTCGAAAAGGAGCACAAAATACTCAGGGGTAGATCAGCCATGATACATCCGGGTGAGTTCTTTGTACCGACTGCAGAACTTACTTCAAAAAGTATCCAGAAAAAACTGTTTAGAGGTAAGCTTAGGTGCAAGAATAGGAAAGCGCGATCGACGGTACGGAAAATTAGTCTGAAGCCGAAGATATCACAACGGAATAAAGAGACTAGAGGATTTTGGACTAGGTATTCACCTGTTATATACCCATGTACGAAAGTTTGATGAAGTTATTAACATTTAAGTGAGGCTAATGATTTTTTCTACGACAGAAACCACAACTTATCTGGTCACGGGGGAGAAGGATGATCATAAAGTTGCCTGCTGAGTGTCACCATATCGGAACTATATGGTAGTGCAGAGTACAAACATGTAAGTACTGATAAAAAAGAACAAATAATAAAATATATCACATGCTATGAAAATGCACCGATAGACAGTTCTTATATTACTCCGGAGCAGAGAGACTATTTTAAGAGACGAAATTTAGGAAATAGGTGTTAAGTCGTGAGATCAGTTAGGTTATGAAGAAATGTGGGTTACATCGGAGTACGAAACATGCCCATTGAGTCGTGGAGAAGAGACAATTCAGCAAGGAAAATGTTTTCTTCGATACCATTTTCAAAGCTGCACAATCGTGTTTATATATATAATAAGCAAATAACAGTCCATTATAAAACGGTAGGG